ATGTCTTAAAAAACTTGTAAGGCGTCTAAAAACGTCTTACAAACTTATTTCAACGTTTTTATATAGGACATACAACTGTTTGATTTTTTTAATTTAGAGTCTAATAAAACATTTAGACATGTAACTTTTTGTTAAAGTTATTTTAGATATATAATAAACAAATAAACAATCATTTGACAATGACAAATCAACGGTTATAAATTTTAGGAAATAAAAATAATACGTGTCTCATAAAAATTAGTGGAGCTGGAACGAATTGTTCATAATCATGGTACTTTACCCTTTTTAGAAGACTAGGAGATCCACCACATGAGTTTAAATGAAGTTGCTAAGATCTTAAAATCATTTGAATTAAATTAAGGGATCGTTTATTAAACGCTTATCCAGTAAGTGTTTATCAGGTAATTTTCTTTACCGGATGAACATGGTAATGGTTTAGAATCTTACTCGGTTAGAGCGGTAAAATGATGAAGAATCTTACCCGGTAAGAGTGGTGAAAGAATGAAGAGTCTTACCCATTATAAGTGAGAGTGACGACTTTTGCCCGGATAAATGCTTACCGGGAAAATTGTTGCATATTATATCGTTCTGATGCACTACAATCTTACATAAAAAAATAAATTATAGTGTTGACTTTCATCGGTAAGTAATTACCGGATAAGGATTTGAGTAAACGGCCCCTAAGTTAGACGGTTTTTATATATTGGATGGTTGAAGAATGCAGCTTGGTTTAAAACTTAACCAACTTTCTCAGTTTGAACATTTTTATTTGACAATTTAACAGCCCAAAAATAAAATCCAAAGTTTATATATGTTTGAAACATGAGTTTACCAAGAGAAAGCCAGCTATGTAACATAGTTTTTACTGATATTCTTTATAACATAGTTTAGAAATGTTAACGATTCAAAAATGGGTTGAAATCGGACATTAGATTCAAAGTGTTTTGGCTTATATTATTATTTTATATAGTTATGTCTTTTGACCATAGTGACAAATGCAGGCTTATAAAATAAGCATGGACCATCATAACAATGTGTTGGGATCATATACCAAAATAACACATAAAATCATATTTTATGCTTATCAAGATAGACGACCATTAACGTATATGACTGAAAAAATTGATAACATCCGATATTCGACGAACTACCGTATTTATAGACAATCAAATCCAGAAAAAATACAACAAAAACAGCATAGTTGACTGTTGAATGTCTTGAAATGCAATAGTCTTCAGGGTCTGTGTATAATACTTCCCTACCGTAGACTATCTTCAACCCAACCACTAAAAATAAAACACTAAGATCAATAAAAAAAATAATGTTCCTTGACCACTAAAAACATTAAATAACATCTTTTAGTTTATAAAATAATAATAAAATAATATATTTATTTATTATTATGCTATTTTATTAAAATATATAATAATTATAATATATAATTAATTTTTACAATCAATAAATAACTATGACTTGTTTTAAAAAAAATATTCAACGAAGAAAATTA